AAAATAAAATACATAAGATTACAAAAGAAACCATTATGGTAAATTAGTTATCAACATATTTATAAAAATAGTCATACAATAATAGATGTGATTCTGCTTAAAGCATTAAAAATACGATCTAGTGGCAGCTCTAATAAATACTGCAATTTTAAAGGATTAATAAGTGTAAACAATATTTCAAGATATCTGCCACAACTGCAATGTGATATGAAAATATTTATTATTTCTAGTCGTGACAAAGTTAGAGTTAATACTACTTTGGTCTGTTGCCTATATTCTTAATTAAATGATGTACTAAATATTCACTAGAACTTCATGAAAATAAAGATGCAATATTTTTCACATCTAAGTTCAGCACCTCCTTAATTTTCTCCATGGATCCCCAAAGAGGACTTTGAACCCCAGGTTATCAAATTCTGCTTTCTCCTATCTTTGCAATTATTCAGCGGTAGTAATATGCTACCTTCTATGTTGGTCATCTTTTCTCACATATGCCTTGTGAATATGAGTATAAACTCCCTACCAAAATGCTATTTACTCAGTATTTAAGAATCATTTGCATGCACAAGTGATTTCAAGTGGAACATACTTTTTTATTCTTCCCTTAACACTTCAATCACTTTTTTCAAATAGCTAGTTTCATTCCTTTGCCAATGTTCTATATGTTAAGTATGTCTACAAATATTTCCTGTTTTTACCACCAATATCCTAAAAACCCTGACTAGTCTTAGATTTTTGTCTCAATAGAAAAAATTAAATTACACTGAAGCTGAACTTCAAAGCTAGGATAATGATTCCAAGAATCATCTAAATTTAGTACACATTATTTGGCAGGAACTCCTAATTGCACATATTAAAACCTCCTCAACAACATCAGGATATGGTGCACTTTCAAATGTTTCTAGTCATTAATGAAAATATTTTAGGACATTTCAATTTCTCCCACAATGTAAACTCAGTTTCTAGTTTAAAGTTAGAAATTTTGAAATAAAGGGGGAAATTAGTATTTTTATTAATAACCTTAAAATTTAAGCTTGATCTTGCCAATTAAAAGTAATTTTTTTCTAATAAGACAATTACCCTGCCAAATACCTAAAATCTATTAATTGTCTGGCAGACAAGAGACTATTGACCCATACAAGAAGAGATAATACTAGTGTTAATTCAAGTCTCTGGAAAATGATGTATCCTTAATTGTTTTTTGTTGTTTTTCTTGTTATGAAGAGACAACCATGCTACATGAGCAACAAACTATGATTATGCATGGATGGATTTTAGCACTGTAATCAAATAGAACTTACAACAAAGTTAATCTGATAATACATATTTAATGCTATGCATTATCGATGTGCTACATGGTAATTAGACATAAATGGTAAACAGCTCATATGAATGGCAAATTGATGTTACTTTTGCATCACTGAAGCAAATGTGTCTAGGATGGGAAGAGGGCAAAGGTGTTGGTGTTTCTAGTCTGTTTCTTTTTTTCCTGCCTAAGAGAAGCAGTCTCCTTTGGAGGCTGGAAAACCATACAGCTGTTTCAACCCAGGAACATCCTCCTTAACACAAGATACTCAGACACTTGATTTGTGTGTGTGCGTGT